CTAGTTACTTCCACCCCAATTTGACATCAATTCTAGATCCTCATCAAGATATGCAATCTCCTACTGCCGGTGAAGATGTGCCTCCGTAGCCGATATTCAGGAATCCACCGACGGCAACTTGCAGGCAACGTTCTTTCGGGAAGCTGAGGAGCCATACACAAAAATGATTCGACAAGTCATAACATCGAAGTTTGACCAGCAAATGTTCATGCCACACACGGTCAAAGGTCTTAAAAATATCAAGCGCAATAGCGCTTGACTCTCTATGTTTCTCGATTCATTATTCCAAATATGGATGACATTCGATAGAAGGTCGCCTGTTGATCTTTGTTTCCGAAATCCATATTGATGATTGCTCAAGATGTTGAAGCCTTCCAAATATTTGAGGATATGGTGGTTCACAACTTCTTCCATGATTTTTGATATCACTGATAGCAAAGCGACTGGTCTATAGTTATTTGAAAGATTTTTCTTGCCAATAAATTGATGGATGTAGCCATTACTATGTTGTAGGAGATCATGATGAAAAGAGAAATGAAAATTTCTATGTTTTTTTACAACTTTTATTTGTAACAATAAGAGTTTATTGTTTAAGTTTGAAAATGTCCATATAGGACGAAACTGCAGTAACGTTAGTTACAAATAAAAATGGTAAAAAACATAGAAATTTCCATTTCTCTTTTCATCATTTTTCTTGCCCTTTTTGGAAATAGACTGAACGCGAGCAATCTTCCAACAAGAAGGAAAATCCCCTTTTTTGTAATACAGGTTGAATAGTCTGCAAAATACTTGTGCGAGTTCATTTGCGCACTTTTTAAGTATGATGACGGACACTTCATCAGGACCAGACGCCTTGTTGATACTGAGCTGTTTCAAAAGTCGCCTGACTAGAGGCTGTCGAAAAGTGATTTCCGGCATTGTGGATTCTAGTGTGGGAATAGTGGTTAGTGCTGTTCCCAGAAAATCGACTGTGAACTGGGACGCAATTATTCAGCTAGTAGATTTGCTATTTCTATAGCTGTTGTTGCAATCGAACCACCCGCTTGTGTTAGTGGTGGAATTGTGGATTTTGTAAAGTTCTGATTAACAGCTTTAGCTACCGACCAGAAGGATCTAGACCCGTTGGGATCGGCAAGCAGTTTATCCCTAATTCTCTGATTGTGAAGTTCTTTGCTTTCATTTATCCTAAATTTGCAGCTGTTGCGAGCATTAACAAACCTAGTTCGGTTTTTGGCACTGGGATTTTTACGACACTGTCGGTAGTCGAAATTATTGGAGGCGACAGCTTATTGCTTGTTCCCAATTCATGTTGAACCAAGGTTAGCCTTTAGAAGTTTGTTTCATCGAAAAAGGAATATATGCATCAATAGATGATAGAATAACTTCCGAGACTTCAGAAGTACAATTTGATAGATCTTTAGAGCTGAAACAAGCATCTAGCCAGGGAAAATTTTGTAAATGATCTTGAAGATCCTCTCATACAGCTGATCTGTGATGCCAAACTTTGCGCGGATGAGATTGTTCCCCAACATTTATCGGTAATTCGCACAACACTGAAATGAGTTTGTGGTCATACAATCCCAATGGAGACCTTAAGGTGACTGTGTAAATTTCTAGGTTTGTTGTTAGGTATAGATCCAGAAGACTAGCATATTCTCCATCACGGTCAAGAATCTTGAATGTGAATTCTCGTACAAAAAAAGGGCATTCAATTTCAACTAGGAGTTTTCTTTTGATAAGTCCATCTGGTATGGCTGCCAAGAGAACTACTCTGGGGGATTCCACGTAGTTCATCCAGAGCCTTGATTTAATTTTCAATATACGCTAGTGATGATGTTCAATTAGGTTGTATAAAATTTGACATTTGTACTGGTATTATTGGCGACCATTCTTTTTTTTTCTCGTAGTCTTAGTGGTAAAATGTTACCATTATTCTGTTAAAAAATATGTTGAAAGCGAAGGAGTGACGAGGTCTCACTTTCTAACTTGCGATTCCTAGATGCAACAAATTCATCAATCTGGCACTCGATACGGCATCAACAACTAATAATGAAGATAATAATGAGCTATGCGAAAAGAGGTTGATATTCCTTCGATATGATGCACCGCCCCATATTATTTGTCAACTGCTACGAAAATTCCTAGATCGTACTCTTTCAGATTGATGAATTGAAAGATGGGAAAATATCAAATAACCTAAATGTTTGCCAGATTTCTCATCATTAGATTTTTTACTATCGGGTCACTTAACTGAATTTATGCAACTCAACTAGATTCAAAAGATTTAAGTCCTAAGATTTTAACTGAATGCCCCCAAATAACTCTCATGTTCTTTTTTATTATCATGAAATATCCGCATTATTGAAAGTATTGTGGAATCACTGTTATTATTATCTAGAAACATCATTAACAGTAATTCCTCGTCTACCAATGGAGTGAAATATCCTTTCAGAAATGATTAAGATATACCTTCATCATCAGCGTATGTAAATAGTATTAGATTTCAACGCAACCAACCCCTGGTGGGACTATTGTCGATGAATGGAATACGATTGCCTGATTATTTCACCTTAATTTGAATATGTGAGAAGAATATAATTGATGCTGGAGAAGTATTTTTTTGTTAGAAGAAATTAGTAAATGGAAATGAAAATGATCGATATTCATAATTGAACCTTTGAACTAATAGTACATTAATTAATTTAGAAATGAGTTTTCGACCACCCAGATGTTTGAGGTGAAATAGCTGCCTTCGGTTTCGAATAAATCTACGGTTAGATTTGTGAATATTTGAATGCATATTGGGATATTTACTTTGTCTGATGTCAGTCAGCGACAGACGAACTGATAGTGAATTAAAGAACGTGGATATAATAATTGATATACGACATGAATGTTATTTTATGAATTGTGTGGTACTGAAGGCGATTGAAGAAGTATGGAAAATAAGTAGAATGAAATTGATAGTTTAATGTCCAACCTACTGACGTAATTTTTACCCAATTGTTAAAAATGATTTTCTGAAATTTACTAACCTGTTACAGAATTGGGGCATTTTCTCTAGAGAAATATATTTGAAAAATTAAACGTATTCTATGAAACAGTTCATGATAGATCGACTTCATTGAAAATTTCACAGAAGATATCCACCAAACCCTTTCAGCAAGGTAGTTAATGATTATCAAGAAATGAAACACAAAAGGAGTTTCATTTGTATTCATGAAGGAAAGGTATACAATACTAAATTGAAAATACAAATAAGTCAATATATCACAAACAATGGTGCATTGATAATTTCTTACGGGGAGCCCAAATTGAAGATGTGGTAGCGGCTACTTCTACAACAAAAATACTTCGGCACAAGTCCGGACCAATTGCCGCTTTGACGTTGAAGAAAGCTAAAAATAAGAAATTTTGTGCGAAAAGAGTCTCTGAAACAAAGAGTCAAGGAAAAATAAAGCACTGTGTATCCAAAATCCCCTCCGTGTGACTGACAACAGTAACAAAAACTTGACGGTGGTAATGGATTATTTCATGCACAGTAGAGGTCGAGAAAAGACGTATTACCTGACATCACCAACACTTAGAAGTAATGGTAGACAAACATAACAAAACAGATAATTCTTGTCTTGTCAATTTTTGGGAAGAAAAGAGTAGAAATAGCCGATATCAATATTCACTTGACATATAAATGAAATTACTGTAACAGCCTCTATTTGCTTACCAATTTGCCCAATAACACCTTCCAGAGCAGCTGGGAAATTACCAGAGGCAGAATAAAAAAAATAGATTAGACATGATAGCGACGGGCACTATGTTTGAATGAGAAGATGCTGTATGGTTGAACAAACTATAGAAGGAAAAATAATTTTTCCCAATATGCAGAGGAAATGGAAATACTCCTCTACTTGGTGACCAAGGAGGAGAATGACTCTTATTGGTCTACCGCACCCCAGAAACCCCAAGGAGCGACTCCTTATAGTTATTTTTAAACAATGCATTGACTATAATGAGCTATCCTTAAAAGATAGATATATGACATCGCGGACTTTTCTGTAGACCTATAAAGGAGGAACAACATATAGTGAATTATTCCGTTATTTCTTGAAGGTTGTGTTTTCAATGGAAGGTCCCCGGCTTCGCACAAGTAGCATCCCGGCCTAACTTTGAACAGATAACATCGCCATATTTCAAGAATTTCACACAAAAAGTTTATAAGTTACATTGCAAATACATTCATATACGTGAATCTTAAATCAGTCAATTGTAGAAAACCGTATATCTGTTCAGCAATTTTTGAGTTTATCGCATTAAAGCAAGTAGACGAAACATAATTTTTTTTATTATCTAGGGGAATTATCTCTATTCATGTAACACTTTATTGAGAGAGTTTCACTGAAGTGTTTACAAAACAGCAACATTCGTTTCGATATTCAATAGATTCTTCAGGCGTGTTTGTACTAACTAAAATTTTCTTTGTATATAAATGTATGTAATTGAAAAAGAAAATTCAAATTATATGCCCAGACTTGATTTCTAATTTTTTATTTGAATATATCAATTGACTCTTTTCAGGAAGTCTAACGTTGCGACTATATTGGATTTTTATTTGTTCATATTCATGTTGTGCAAATTTATGTACTTCAGTCTAGTTCTTTTTGATTTCCTAATTAATTATAAACAAGGAGGTCGATTGTAGAGCGATGGCGGTGAATAATAGTAGATAATAAAAGTTAAATATTCAGTAAATTCACTCATACACCGCTATAGGAGTTAGTCTAGAGACATCATAAATATCAGATTATATAAAAATAGTTAACATATTTTATCGTCTATTTCAACCCACTGAAATCTCAGGAGGAACTTATCTTTTCACGAAGTAGATGACTTGAACGGAGATAATACCTTATTCGACAACATTAAAAGTCTTTTTTTTCTTCAAGATGTTTGATATTTATTCATAATAGCCTGACGTAACAAAGATATCATAAACTACTCACTTGAACGGGATACTTATGAGGCCGCCTGTCTTTCCTCTGCTGCACTTCCATTTTTTGTGAGTTGCACATGCTAACGGAGACAAAGACCGCCGTGATCCTATAAAAAAAGATTAATAGAATTAGAAGTGATAAAAGGGTGCTGAACTTATAATCGATATTAAAAATATGAGAATGTAACACAAATCTGTTTCTAACAACGTTTTTCATTTCAAGATTGAAATGGTGAAGTATAATAATGACTGGAAAAACAGATAATTTTCGAATAATTCGAAAGTATGTTTGTTCGTTCGTTTTGAATTGGGAATAATGAAATGTTAAGAAGAGAAACGAACCCAATTATCGATATTATAGCATATATATTATAGCATAGCATAGTAGTCGAATAAAATCATAAAAAAGGATGCTCAAAATCTGAATACTTTTATGGTAACATTCAGTAATAAAGAAAATGAAATCATCAATAAAAGTGATGCATAAAGTTGTGATATAACTTTTCTCCCTGTATTGGTATTGTAATTGTTGCTGAGATACAATAATTTTTTGATTTAAATAGAAGGAAATAATTGTGTTTCAAATCATTTTCACATTTGATTTGATAATTTTAATGGACTGGAAGTATCGTGATTCATTTTGATTTTTTATTAAATTATGTATCTATTGAATTTCATTAGTTTCATTACTTGGGCAGTCGGTAGCCAAGCGGTTCGGCGTGGATGCTTTGTTCACTCACTCGAATTGACTGCCGTGTTGGTCGGTGGTTCAAGCCCTAGTCTGAACGATCGATCTTCACTTGCTACCGTCCAACCCGTGTTAGGAATCACACGTTAAAAGGTAAGACCTCGTTAATCCTTAGCTCGCACAAGTTTCGACTTCTGAGGGTTGTCGTTCGTAGGGGTGCGACAGCTGGTTAACGGAAAAACATATTTTAAACAGATTTTTTTGAAACAGATTAAACAGTTCGAACTTCCAATGTCTAATATTGTTTTTCATCACCCGAAGACGATTGTGGATACTAACAATCAAATCAAGCGATCAATAAGTGCCTTGCCAGTGAAACATTCATGCAAACCATGGTTAAAAACATATCACAAGCCATAATAAAAACGATCGAAAGTAAGTTATCAATCAATATATCCCAAGAAAACATTGTGGCATGCTACAGGGTGGGAAAAAAAGAAGAAGGAAAGAATAGAGCAATATTCATCAAGTTGAATAACATCAATAAGAAACAGGAAATGTTTACCAAGAAGAAACTGCTAAAAGGAACTGGGGTTGTTAGGGAAGACCTAACCAGATTGAGAATGGAATTTCTGAAAATTGCTATCGATATAGTTGGAACGAAGAATTTATGGACGAAATTTTTGTTACCAAAGACAATAAGGTGTTCACAATCGAGAAAAGAGAGGATATCAAGAAAATTATGTGAACATTTTCTATATTATTACCATGATATAGAATAAATTAAAATTTCTGAGGGATATCGAATAGAAACTCGTATTACATTTTGTTATTTCGTGTTTATTTTTTCTTATTTGATCTTTTACTTTTTTTTATAGTTTTTCAATTTTATTTGAGTATTTTTTCATTGGTTTGCTAGAAATTCTGAACAATTTAGACAAACACGAAGAAATTATAACTGAAACATATAAGAATTTACAAGAATGCACTGGGGAAGGTGAGGTCGGTTTGACAAGTGGTATAGGGGTAATTCATTTCAATATACGAAGCTTGAGGAAACATTTTGATGAATTAGTTGTATATTTGCAGGAGGGTATTGACAATATAGACATTATTATCTTATCTGAAACTTGGAAGCTAGAGACGGTGAGTGAATTCAATTTACCTACATTACAACAACATTACAACATACATTACAACAACTCGAAGATAAATCAAAATGACGGTCTGTCCAGCTAATGGAAACAAATTTCCTAAGAATAACAGCGTTTGCAAATAGCTCAAGCCACAATAGTAAAATTGGTATCACAGCCACCTACAGACTACCATCTATCAACACATTAACATATCTAAATGACCTCAGGAAAATTTGTTTACAAATTCATTAGGGAATGTTTTTGGGATAATTTTGCCTCTTCTAACCGAGAGCTCTGGAGTAGACTGATGTGTAACGTGAACTTCAGATCCTCACAAAAATCTGAGTGTCTCATAAAACTCAATACAGCAGGTCATTCTGAAGGAGCAGTTCAGCTATCCACCGGTAGGTCGACAAGCAGACGTGTTTTCTCAGAAGAGCCCACTAGATCATCTGAAATGACGGCTCTGGATGCTTTTGCGGGAATACGAATAGCATGGTGGGAATAGCATGGTCTCGTCATTTCATTTGGATTTCCGGACATCGGCTACGGAGGCACATCTTCACCGGCTGCAGGAGGTTGCATATTTTGATAATGAAAGTGATTTCGAATTAGGATGAAAGTAACCAAGTTCAATTCAATGCAACAAAAACCCAGGTTTTCTCCAGGAAGATAAATGTTTCCGAACCGGATATAATAATGTCAGGTCAGACAATTCCCCTTTCTTCTTCGATAAGTTTGTTGGGGGGTGGAAATGGACACCAATATGTCTTGGCACAATCATGTCATTGGAATTGCAAAGGCTGCTTCTCAAAAGCTTGGAACACTGTCTCGAACCAGAAAACTATACAGACCTCAGCAACTTTTGATAGTCCATAAAGCTCAGATCAGAACTTCTTTGGAGTATTGTTCTCATGTATAGATCTTCGCCCCCAAACATACCCTGGATTCCATCAAGAATAGAGCCTGATTGGAGCCTAATTTCGAAAGCATGAAAAAGTGCCAGAAAAGAGCCCCCCGCCTGTATGGGGACGTGAACATCACGTGCAACCTTGATAGCCTGGAATAGGTTGGAGATTTGTCTCTCTTCTATAGATACTTTCACGGGAGGTGTTCAAATAACTTGGCACATTTGATTCCACCAAAAGCAGTACATATCAGAAATACGCGACGGACTGTGGCTGCTCATCGTTTTGAGGTTCAACTCAGTATACCTCGAACTTCACTGTTTAAGAACTCTTTCATCTGGAGAACTGCTGTGAAATAAACTTCCTGAGAACTTTTTTCCAAGTGAATTTAATCTCCAGCGATTCCAATCCAATGTGAATCGCTACTTTCGCACAGACAGTGCTCTGAGAGCGCCTTAATGATTTTTCTATAGAGCATTCCATAGTGAAGGAAATCAAATTGTAAACAGATCACATTACTGCCAAGAGACGGTGACAAATATTTTGAAAATTCATTGGAATGAACTGGGGTGGGTTTTTAAAAATGTAACTTTTATGTTTCTTTTGTTCTAAATTGACAATAAAAAATAAATAATTTTTGTTTGAATTATGTAAGCATGTACTGTTAAAGGATATTCCAACTACGAGTGGAATGAAACAGCACAAACAGGCCTTTTTATGCCTAGGTGTATTTCACCCATTTGTAGTGGTTTTGACATATGTTAATGACTAAATTTCACATATTTGTACTGAAAAATTGAAATGAATTTGATTTGAATTTGATTTGAAATTTGATTTGATTTGAATTTGTTTGTAATTTGGTTGGATACTTCTTTCAGAGATTTCGAATCACATCAGAATCATATTGAACAATAGAAGTCCGAACTAATGAAATTCACCATGAAACATTATATATCTTTTACCTGCACTGAGGTGATTTCATAGATTTTCTATAATTTATTTATCAATTGATTTTTTTTAATGAAACTTTCCATTCTGCGGAATGATTAGCTCTTATCAACAAAAACTAGAAAATATTAAAATTATAATCTGGATGAGTAACGTTTGAAACAGCTTCTGAAGTAGTTATCGTTGAAAATTATCCGATTTGAGTTTTTGAACTGTCATCCATCTAGAAGGCAGACAAACAACAATTCCCAACACCAATTACTATTGCTGGAGAAAATGGTATCCATATAACTGAAAATAAATCAAAAGCTGATTCTTTCAATGACTATTTCACAAAAATAGGACTCAACATGGCTAACCAAATTGACAGATGTGACTTACCAAACAATTGCTTCCATAATGTTCCTGCAACCCATTGATGAAAATGAGATAATGTTGTCTATAGGTAGACTCAAAAATAATTGTGCTTCAGGGTCAGATGGAATCACCTCCAGACTCATCAAAAAAGTACATACACATATTTTGAAACCGCTTGTCCATCTGATAAATTTATGCTACATAAATGGGAATTTACCCAACCAATAGAAAGAGTCAAGAGTTATACCCGTTTACAAGGCTGGGAACAGACACGAAATGAAAAATTATAGACCAATCTCTGTGATAGATAATTTTGCAAAAATTTTTGAACAATCGGTCAAGAAAAGATTACTTGAATTTCTTAACAAGCACCATGTTATAACCGACAGACATTTTGGATTCATTCAAAACTCGTATACTGAAAACGCTGTTTTAGACTTTATGGAACATACAATAAAAATAATTGATGAATCATCGAAATGTTTGACTGTTTTTGTTGATTTAGCAAAAGCTTTTGACACGTGTCACATGATGTCTTGTTGGGAAAACATTTTGGGTACAGAATAAGAGGGCAAAATTTGAAATTGATGAAGAATTATTTGTCACAGAGAACACAGAAGGTTGAGATAGGGAAAGAACTCAGCAGATCAGCGAATATATACATCAACAGTGTATCACAAATCAGTGGTTTTCGTGGGCAGATTATTTGTTATGGAGATGACACAGCGTTGATTTTCAGAGGCGAAACCTGGAATGACGTCTATAAAACAGCTGAAAACGAACTTGGAAAAATACTCATTTGGCTGAATAATAACCTGCTGAGCTTGAACACTAGTAAGACATTCTCTCGAGATAATTCTCAGATCGATTCCCTAAAAAGCCACAAGCCACTGTGCAACGATAAAACTACATGTAGCTGTTCGTCAATAGATAAAACATCATCGGTAAAGTATTTGGGAGTTATTATGGATCAACACATCAGATGGGACTACCACGTTGCAAATGTCATGAAAAACTGAGGCTTCTAATGTATCAGTTTTATATGCTCAGAGATATTCTGTCACAGAAAAACCTGTTCCTGGTATACTGTATTACTGTATGGGGGGGAACTTTTAATACTTTGATAAAGCCTCTACAAGCCATGCAGAATTCCTTATTAAAAATAATATTAAAGGAAGGTAAACGATTTTCAACCCAAAAACTGTATGAAGAAACCAAATTACTGAATGTTAGAGCACACTACTGCTACCAGTGTTTGATTTGGATGTTTTCAAATTCAAAAAAATATGCAACGACAACTTTTAAAAAAACTAGATCTACTGATAATCAAAATGTTAGAACCCCCCATTACCGNAAGTCAGACTTCGACTTTCAATTAATGGTGGCCTGATATATTAATTAGCAAACCAAAAGGTCTACAGTTGAGAAGATGCGATGGCGATCATCAAGACCTTTCTGCAACATGGAAGAACTCAACACAAATATGAATTTGTTACAGCAACATCTTCAAACAAATAATCCTCATTTTTCGGCAAAATGCACCACTTGTAAAGCGAAGGTACTTGTTGATGTTTCTCCAATTATAGTTTTTTATAATATGGAGAACAGCTTCCTTATGGAGTGAACAGTTCGGAATCGTTCTTCCAAATGAATATATAAAGCTATCCTAATGCGAGTTTCTGCACAAAGAGTTCTCGTGAACGATAAGAGACGAAGAGTAGATTGAATTATTTTGTTGCCTATTTAAGGATACTATTGGAATATATCAAAAAATCGATTGTAGCTCTTTTGGTTTAGAAAATACACAGGAAAAACTGAAAATTTACAAATTCTAGTTTCGCTTGAATCAACTCTGTACGGAGAGATATTTATAATATTCATTTAGCCCTCAAGATATTTTCGTTGAACCCCTATATTTTTCTCAACTTCGAAATGTTAAATACGGACCTTTCCTATTTTCTAGTAGGTAATGTACCTACATAAAATGTCATAGAATTGAATATTTTTGAAATTATACATTTGTTATTTTGGAATTACAAAAGCAAAGTGAATCTCTACAACAACAGAATTAGAAAAACTCTTGATCTTTGTTTTGGTTAGTTTCCGGGTTATGCCATGGTCTTTGGTTACAATCTCTAAACGTTTAACTGCAACTGCGGCAGTCAATTTCAGTCAACTGAACAGTTGAAGAAGTTGAAGAAGAGTACTTCGTTTACTGAAGATGACTGTCGCAGTTGCAGTTGAAACGTTTGGATATTGTAACCAAAGAAGACCACGGCAAAACCTGGAAACCAACCAAAACATTGACGCCAGCCGTGAAAGCCCAGAGCTTGTCTTCTAACGAACGCAGATCGATTGGGCGGGACCATAACGGAATTCAGAATGGTCTTCCTACATTTGACAAGCTGTATATTCCTATATAACTCTTAATTTTTTCCTTCTCATCTTGTAATCTTAACATGAGAGGCAAGAGTGGATCAATTCAGACTGGATAACTGGAAAATTCATCAAGATACAAATCATCGGATCAAAATACAAAACATTTAGCCTCTCAGTTGATCAATACATAGCTTCACTCTATGTATATGTATATAATATATCAAGTAAAACTGATGAATATGTGAATCGTGAATGACCAACAACATTCATAGGCCAGAAATAACTGTGGATGATCAGAATCATCATCTCAGGATCATATCAGGAATTGGTCAATAAAAAACATGAAGAATACTTGTGAATAAAACTGGGAACACATATAAAATGTATAAAAGAACTCCACATATAGTAAGGGGGTATACTTGAAGACTTGTTTCGAGCTATTTGGCCTCTCGTTAGTGCAAGGTGATTTCCCATAATTGAAAATTGAATTTCTTTCAGATTATCCTTCCACGAACAAGTTTGAAGCGAACGACAAACAACATTTTTGTCATCGCCCTATAAGCTCACCATCCATTATTTGTATTCAACAATATTTTAATGAAAAAGGCATCGGAATTTGAATGAATGAAATAGCTCATGTCTATCAATACCGTTGAACATCATTGTTGGACATCATTGAAAATATTTCAACCACCTTCAATCTGAATCAGTTAATTGGCTAATTAAAATCGAAAGAAGAATCCATTACGAATAATCGCATTATTAATATTCGATAATCTCGTATTCGGCACACTATGCAATATGAATTAAATCGATAAAACGAAGTTAAAACGTTAATGAGTAAGACCCCAATAATTTTTAAAACTGCTGCAATTTTTATAACCCTTCGAGTAGGCGTGCTGGATACTAATTATAAAAATGATTGATCACCAGGCCATTACAGGTTATTGAAGGTATTGAAGAATTTTTTTTTGTTCAACACCTTTTAATGGCTTTTAGCACGCAACAATTCGATGTGGATCCACTTGCTTTTGATCGGTTCCCAACAATGAACAGACGTGAGAGATAAAACGCCGTAATCAATTATTCAGCTAAGAATTGAATAAAACCAGGCTCATTATATCAGTTGGAAAATATTTCTTATATATTCAGACACATCGAGTGCAACCTGGTGAGTGGGTTTCTTTTCATATATGTTGGTTAGTGACGCAATGAAATGAAGTAATGGTTCAAAACCTTTTTATTTTTTTACGTAACTCATATTTCATGTCGTTCAGCTTGTACTTTCATATGAGAAATATATCACCATCTATAAACTAATGAAGAACTGTGTGCTGAAGTTATAGTTCAATACAATGACTTTTTGTATCGCTTTCAATGACTCAGCAGCTTAGATTGTTTATAAAAGCATTTTCAGATGTCCACTCCCTTAATTATATGTAAATAATAACGAAAATTCGAAAATAGTGAGTTAACAATCACTTGCCAATGAGAAGTATTTTGATGAAAAATGTGAAAATCATCTACACTTGTTTCATCAAAATTTTGCGCAGAAAGAGACATTGTCTCAGATGAGACAAATAACAAATATTTTTTAATGAAAATTTCATCGTGAAAAGAAATCTTAACTCAATATTGACATTTAAAAAATACTGGTAATAATTACAACAATGAATATCAATAATAAAACATCAAATATGTTGGAATCAGCACGTTCGGTTACAGCTGTTTTGTCGATTTGCTCGAGAAAATGTATCTTCTGTTTAGAGGCCAAATACTTCGGAGAGGCCAGAGACTTCTTTTCGTTGTTCCAGAGTAAACCGACCCAAAGCTGCAAGCTACAAGGTATTCGGTATACCTTCGGTGTTGCTGAATTCTCTGGAGTCCTCAGCTGAACTTCGAATCAATTTGCACAATCCGATCTGTAACATTTTCAGCATTAACAGGCCTAGCTGGAATTACTTCAACTTCTAGGCTACAGAAGGTACTCTCAAACGACCACCATAAGAGCATCGGCCTCCTGACGAGGGAAAATGGCGATAAAGCCGCCAACCTCCAAGAGAGTGCTAAGATTCTTATGGAAACTCACTTCCCAGGTTCTGTCTTTCCTGGAACGATGAACTGGCGTAGAACTGTTAGTGCAGTAATGACGAGGACAAGATGAGATGGGCCATATCGGGTTTTTCCCCCTTCAAATCACTAGGACCTGACGGTATAAGAGCAGTCCTACTTCAATGGAGACTGGATATTCTTATGCCGCACGTGGTTGAAATATTCAGAGCCTCTCTAGCTCTGAGGTATATTCCCAGTAAGTAGAGAGAAGTACGAGTAGTATTTATACCGAAACCAGGTAAGGTGGACTACACCTTACCAAAAGCATTACGACCAATTAGTCTCACATCGTTCTTCTCGAAAACTATGGCGAGGCTATGTGAGCGGTACATAAGAGATTGAGTACTAATTCAAACTCACTTCATCCAAATCAGCATGCATATACTCCGGGAAGGTCTACTGATTCGGCCCTTCACCATGTGGTTGGCAGAATCGAGAAATCATTGGACAATAAAGAATCCATTCTGAGTATATTCATAGATCGAGGGAGCGTTTAATGAAACAACCTTTTCCAATTACTAATCAACTACACTCCAGGAATGTATCCCTGGTACAGTTGGTTCAGTTGTATTGCCAATTGCATATGCAGGAAATTTTCTGACTACTGACTAATTAGAAAGTTTTCTTCCTTATTCAGAGGAATAGGGTAAATTTCGGATATGCAGTTGGTTAGTAGCCCATCCACTAGATGGAGTAACATTTTGTTGTTAGCTCCAACTTAGGAAGAGGAATGAAATACTCTGATAGAATTCCGATTTTCAATTATGGAATATCATTGACTTTAAGTCGATAATGGCCACTACCTTGCACTGATGAGTAACAATATTTATACTTCTGATGCACTGTTTGGAACCTTTGGTGTAGTAATGAATATTTCTGGAGTGTTTTCCCAGCACCAAACCGTTATTTTGACACCTCGACACTTGTTTCGATCACACTTGTCGAGGTGTTAAAATAACGCTTTGGTGTTGGGAAAAAACTCTAGTAATATTCATTTACGTACATATTTGTAAATGTCACTGTTACTCCCTATTCTGTAATTGNGTTTATATGAAAGTAGCTGTTTCAGGAGGACTTTCTTTCAGTTTGTGTCTGAAAGTTACTTCTTTACATGATCTACTCATCCATGTATAGAGTTACTTATTTTCGAATTGATTACTTCCTCCCTTTTTTTGGAAGATTCCCTCATCTTTTTTTTTTGTATCGAGATGGAGTAATAAAAAGTCAAAAACTTTCTTTCCCAAAAATATGAATTATTGTTGGTGATTTCATATGAGTATAGTAATAGATGAAACAATCATCTCAGTCAATATTTTCTGATTGAATATTTTCTTTGCAGAGACCACAAATTTTGGGAAAAATTTTTGAAAATGCACGGATTTGATTCTTTCAATCGAAAAAATCCTCACCAGCTACGATGCATTCCTCATAATTTACTTCCTCCACAAAAAATTCTGGTCACTGGCACTCCTGCTTTCAAAACCGTCAATCAAATAGATCCAGAGGTACTTCACCAGTATGACAATTTTTACCATACCACGAAGAGCTTGCTGGTATTGTTTCAGATCATGGGTGTTATGCCCATTGAAAGGGAAGTTGGAAGAACAACATACAGGTGACGATAAAATTATTCAAAATACTTGTTGCTTACAATATGTTGTTAATGTGTTGAAAAATAAAACCAAGAAATTGTATTTCATACAACAAATCTTTTGGACTTCCACTTCACAGCTCATATGTAACTATTATTTCATTTCTATCATTCTATCTATCATGAGTCCGAAAACCCTCAATTCTAAAAATTTTTGACATTATCCTAAAGTCCCTATAATACAAGCCCAACTAGTATATCTAATAACAGCATAACCTCAAGTTCCAATAATTATATAACCTCATAAACCCAAAACCTGATGTCGTTAGTTCGTCAACTGAATGAAAGTGGAACAATCAGTTCTAGCATCACTTGCACATCACTTAGCCCTTACTATCGTTAAAGCTTAGTGATATGCAAAACCAGTTTGTCCAAGTTATTCGTGCTGCCAAAGACGACTGACGATTTCAGGTTAAAGATATGAGGTCATTAGAAATTGAAGTGAAGCGCTTATATTTTGTGGGGTTGAGAGAGAGAGATGAGTGTTTTATGTTAAGAGTAATTACGCTAATTGGGATTGAGATCTTTGGGTTTGTGTCAAAAATCTGACGCGTTGGTATTGCATGGCTTTTGGAGTCGCTTTTAAACAAAATTTACTGAATATGTTCTCATAAGTCCAATTCTTTTGTGGGGTTGTGTAGTTGTTTATACATTTGTGAGAATGGCTACTCATTTCGTTTCAATATATCATAACTTTGAAGAGCCTTTTTCACCTCAGGAAAAAATCAAAGATCTGGCCATTCAAATCAGTGTTCAAGATCATTATCTGAAGAAATCCAGTAAACTGTCTTTAATTCAGTTAGTATCTATATGATACGTTTTTCCCCGCTGGTTGACCTGTAATTGATCACACTGAATAATCAAAGTTACCTTTATTTATTTCACTTCAAAAACACAAATACTCCAACTGAAACTTCAACTATTATTTGAATGTCTATCGCCTTACTAGATCACTTCGCGTACCGCACTGTAACATCCACTTACTGTCTCGATATCCTTGTGGCCTGTCTTTAAATATCGTAATAGAATGTCGTGGAAATTTCGCAAAAGTTCTGTCGAAGTCGTTAGCATTATTCTCGTTGCGTCTCGAGTGGCGGAGACAATCGTACACTCGCGCGATCTTAGCCACGTCACGACTGGTTTATGGCTACCAGCGGCGGCCGGCGTTATTTTCCTTCGGGTATGATTTACACAAAAACACCTACGAAATTGTTTCAAAAATGATTATTGTTAAATTGTCAGACTTATTCGTATGTCAAATTGCACTATTCAACCAATAATAATATGAAAGTTCGATCCCAATCTCGACCAAATATATCATAACTTTGAAGAGCCTTTTTCACCTCAGGAAAAAATCAAAGATCTGACCATTCAAATCAGTGTTCAAGATCATTATCTGAAGAAATCAAGTAAACTGTCTTTATTTCGGTTAGTATCTATATGATACTATATGATACGTTTTTCCCCGCGAGTTGACCTGTAATTGACTACACTGAATAATCAAACTTAACTTTATTTCACTTTAAAAACACAAATACTCCAACTGAAACTTCAACTATTATTTGAATGTCTATCGCCTTACTAGATCACTTCGCGTACCGCACTGTAACGTCCACTTGACTGTCTCGATATCCTTGTGGCCAGTCTTTAAATATCGTAATAGAATGTCGTGGAAATTTCGCCAAAGTTCTGTCGAAGTCGTTAGCATTATTCTCGCTGCGTCTCGAGTGGCGGGGATAATCGTACACTCGCGCGATCTTAGCCACGTCACGACTGGTTTATGGCTACCAGCGGCAGCCGGTGTTATTTTCTTTCGGGTATGATTTACAAAAACACCTACGAAATTGTTTCAAAAATGATTATTGCTGAATTGTCAGACTTATTCGTATGTTAAATTGCACTATTCAACCAATAATAATATGAACGTTCGATCCCAATCTCGACCAGATATTTTCCCCGGAAAAATTTATCTTGTTGAAATTGGGATGATTCTGCCACGTTACATGGCTAACAGATTGTGGATAGCCATGATGCTCCCTGAGTGGCTCGGGGAGTTATAACATTGCCTACCCAGAACACGATACTAATGACGAAATGATATGAAAACGATCATCTGCCGAAACCGACTTCATTTTCGAAAGTAATTGAGGTTTTACCTACATTTTGACTTATTTTCGCAAATAGTTATTTGAAAAAAAATTTTTTTATGCAATTTCATGACTTTATATCAAATTTCATCAACAGTTCTCTGTGATGTATTCATTGAGAGTCATTTTGGTGAAGAAAAGATTTTGAGATACCAATACCTTCCACAACTTGGAAAGATAAGACTTTCATTAGATATTTACGAACAGGTATATAAAAAACACCTCAACAAATCAGAGGTACTTAATCATTAAACATTTCATTACTTACATATTATAAAACAAAGTCCCACGCTGCATATGTATATCTGTTTAAATGCGATGAACTCAAAAACCACCGAACGAACTTCCATACGAAATCACCAATAGACGGAGTGATTCAACAGAAAAGTTTATGTGAATGATTGACTTATGTTTGGAGAGTCGAGGAACACGCGACATAAGTTCGAAAGAACCACTACATATTGCTCTTTTTTTATAGGACTGTAGAAAAGTCCGCGATGGCATATATCTCATCTTTCGAAAATATACCCATTTCAATGTTGAAATGAATAGTCATATATAATGTAGAAATTTGAAAGCTATTTAGACGGTTACGATATCAATTCTTATCAAATTGAATGCCTAGTTACCTGAAGCATGCATGAACATTGTGAATGTTAATTAAATTATACCACTGAAATCTATAGCTTAGAAGTCAGCGGAAAATCAAACCTTTGCCACGTAATGAAGATAATAGTAAAGAAAGATTGCATTCTTTATGATAAAAAGTATACAGGGCGTTCCAACGAAAAGTTAACCCCCGAACGTGTAATTGAGAATTTCAAAGAACACGTCAATTTTTATTTCTAGGGGGTGTAATTTTGTTATAGATTCATACTGGAAACTTTACCCCCCTACGGTCAGCAACTACCCCCCCCCTCCCATTTTCTTTCAACGACATGGGGTTCGAGGGATACATCATTTGAAAGGTCTTTTTTATATGTAATTTTTTCGAATTGGGTTCATTCGTTATTGATGAAATGAATATTGAACGTTTTATTTAAGAAAAAAGAAAACATTTGCTGTCGCTCATTTTATTGAGGAAATCAATATATATCAATGGCAACACAATCAACAGATAAAGTGTTCAAAATGACATCCATCTATTTTTTAGGAGGATTTTCTTTCAGTTTGTGTCTGAAAGTTACTTCTTTGCATGATATACACATCCATGTATAGAGTTACTTCCTTCCTTTCTTCGGAAGACTCCCTCATCCTTCTTCTTTTTTTGTATCAAGATGGAGTAGTAGAAAGCCAAAAACTTTCTTTCCCAAAAATTAATCACTCCTAAAAAATATAACCCCTTCAATT